CTCGGAAGGTCTTCCTTACAAGATACCGGTTGGTAAACGGGTAGACAGAAGTTTAATCACTTAAGGAGCTACATGGACATAATTTAGGAAAGAAATCCTTTCCCGTCTGCTCTTATGTATTTTCGTCAATTTGTGCGTTTCCGGATAAGAAAATCACTTAACGCTGAAGAGTGAACTTAAGAATGGAGTCTACAGCACATGGACAAACGATTTAGCTCATGAGCCCAATCAGAAATTGTTGAAAGCTACCGAACGTGTACGCATCGTGATTACGAACAACCAAATACCTCATGACCATATCGTATTCTCTCAACGTAAACAATTATTTAGTAACATGCAACCAAACCCTTAATGCTTAACTGACATTAAGCGTTTTCTGGGTATCTTATATGTGATTTTTGCATCAACAAAAGACCACTGAAACCGTTTTTTGCAGAATCAATGGTTTCCATCAAAATCTTGATATCTGCGTGTCGTGTCGAATCAGCAGCTACTAACCAAATTCGAAATTAAAGAAATATCGTTAACAACTTCAGCACTGTTGCACAATAGTTTGCAACAGTGCTCTGGCGCAGCAAATCCATCAAATCATGAGATTTTCGCATCGATGTAAAGAAGTTATCCTGCCGATAAGTGATTGCCTGAATCGAGTCTCAGCGAATATATAGAACACGATTCCTTCGCAGGTAGCTTTGATACTGAAATGATGCATTCGTACGCTAAAGGTTCAGTTCTTTTGTTATGCCATTCGAACAATTAACTTTCAAAACATTTCAAACCTGTAAGATGTAAATGTTGCTGCGCATGCATTTACACAGTCCAGTCTGTGCAAAAAGACTAAAAAATCCGATGAAGCTAGGAAATGCCGTTAGCAGATGTCTTTGCGGAGACACTACCACTATGCCTATACATCAGGAGTGAAACAGTGGTTAACTCGACGAAAACTGGATCTAAGTAACAGCGAATTCAATTACACTTTGCTTTTGGTATCTGCGACTGGGCATTTACGCATGTAATGGCTCCATGATATTTGACAACCTACACCGACAGACGTATTCTTCTTCATTATGCACTGAAATGGTGGAAAACTGCGTAAGAAGTCGGTCTCAAACTCTAACTCCAGAGGTGCCGAGTTCTATTCCCGTGGCCGTCTTTATCTTCGTCTCTATTATGAATTATGTTGAGTAAAAAATTTACCATACACTGCTTCAAACCGGGGTTACTCGGTCAGCAGATCGTCGGACTCGTACCAAAGAGATACTGGGTTCGAGCCACGGTAGAAATTACT